TTATGTGGTGCTGAGAATCGAACCCAGGGCCTCAGGCATGCAAGGCAAGCGCTCTACCACTGAGCCACCTTCCCAGCTCCCCCCTCCTTTTGTCATTAGATTATCACTTTGTTTTTAAAGACAGAAAACGGCGTAAGAGACCAAACAGGACAAGCGAGTGTGCTGCACAGGTGCATTCCATGGATAAATCTGTTGTCTTTATTTCTGAAGAGCGGGATCGCCATCACTGCGGAGCCGACCGAGCCGAGGAGTCGAGAATAGACACAGCACCAGGAGTCAACTGCTCGAGCACACAGGGGGGCTTTAGTGATCAAATTTATTATTATTTTTGTTTAAATTTCATTTACTTTGCTTTACTGTAATTTACACAGGAGACCACCAGGTAAATGGGGTGTTTTACATTCGCCACGCATTCCCTCCCACCTCCAGTTGTTAGAAAAGCATTTGATGTGCCTGAGGCTCTGGGCCAGACTCTAGACGCCAGTGCACAGGGTTTGTGAAGAGGCCAGAGCCAGGCTCTGCATGGCACCAAATACCCCAAATAGGCAGCACCCGGCAGGACCATGATTCCGCTCTGACCAAGCCTATCCCCACCGTGCAACCAGCGCTGGCAGTACACACAAGCCTTTGTCCTGGGCACAGGAGGACTGGGACGGAGGAGAGGGAGGCGGGCCTCCAGGCAGGGACGGGCCCCACCCCCAAGTGGGTGGGGCAGGCAGGACTGACAGCTTACGTGAGGGAGGGGACTGCAGGTTAAAGAGGACAGCTTATGATCAAGAGGCCTACTCAAGCCTCCGGGACGGGACAGGAGAACAGGCATTCAGACAGAGAAAGCTGATAAAGAAAAAAAAAAATCTTCCCTAGCTATTGTTCCTTCTTTAAAAAAACAGAAAAGTTAAAAAAAAAAAAAAAGGAAAAAACAAGGCGGCAGTGACTTCCACTGTGCCCAGTCACCGTGGGTTCTGGCTGAACGCCCTGCTGCGAGCACACAGGCCTCGCGCAGGCCAGCCCCGGCCGGCCGGCCGCGTCTTACTGCCCCTGCCCCAGAGCCAGGGTCCCCTGAACAGCAGGGTGGTGGGAAGAGCAGGCTCTGCCCACTGGCCGCCCTGGCCACGCTGCTGCAGCACGAACCAGCCCTTTCACAAGCAAGACTCCACACAGCGCGGCCCTTCCGCCGCTGCTCGGACCCCTCGGCTTGCCTAGCAAGAGCCTTCAAACCACCTTGTGTTTATTAGAAATCACAAACCGTCATCTCAGTTTTTTTTTTTTTAAACTACGTTTGATGTAGAAAAATACTTGAAATTTAAAATACAAAAATCCAATAAAAAGTGGGAAATTTCTTTTTAAAAGGACTCTTCCCTTGGGGGTGAACGAGTAAAAATGGGTTTATACTTAAGAGAGATCGTCAAATTTGGCTGGATGATAACAACCATCCAGAAATAAATAGTTATAAATACATTCAGGGTTTACATTTCAAATTCATTGGAATACCAAAAACAAAAAATGAAAAGTGGTGAAGCGGTTTCGGGGAGTCTAGTTGCTTATAGGACTGAAACAAAAAATTTAACAGGAGACTGACTTGAAAAGAACAGAAAAATAACAAAAGGCTATATATATATATATATTGGTCCACAATTTGACATTTATGAAGCATACCAGCTGGGATCACATTGCAGTCAATTCGTCCATTAATGGCATTACTCTGATAATTATTCAAATCCATCCCAGGTATGTATATATTGAAAATATTTCCTTCTGCACTCTTGCTGAACGCAGGTACAGAGCTGGGGAGCTGTGCGGATCCCTTCCGTGTGTTTGTATGTACATATATACACACGAGTGTGTACCTGGCGTCTGTAGCTCTACATGCGTTCTATATACAGCTACAGACAGAGACGCGCGCGCGCGCTCGCACACACGCCGGGACCTGCGTCTGCGTGATGCCGTCAGTCCTCCGTCACTCGTCGCTGGCTGCGCTGGTTCCTCTCACTTGACCTTGATTACGTAACTGTGGGAAGAGCGGAAGACAGCGCGGGCTGTTAGAGAGCGCAGGGCAGGCACAGCTTGCCTGTACTCTGCGTGGGAAAAGTGCATATACCTTCCAATCTCACAGCGGGACAAGATTTTGGTTTTCTACTCATAGGGACCCTAACGTTTCATCAGAGGGGAAAATAAATAAGCAGAAATAAATGGCAGAAACTTAGGAGAACTTAATAAAAAGCAACAACAACAACAACAAAATTAAATGAACACTGAATTTAAAAGAGCGAGCTTCGAAGACTCTTGGAAGAGTCCTTCATTCTTACTTGGCACAGGGGCTCCTTTCCACAGCCGATTATCCCAGTCAGGAGGAGGGGAGGGGAGAGGCGGGGAGGAAGGGGAGGACTGTGTCCCGCTGGCTCTCCCTCCCCACACAAGCTCGTCCCGTGTGCACAGAGACTGCTCACTGCTGCTGCCGAAGACTCTCACGGCATTTTGTCCTCTAAGAGAAATAACCACTACGCTTATTCTGCAAATGAGTAACGTTTACGTGTGTGTATGGAGTAAAGCTGCCTGCAAGGGGAACAGATGGCCCGTGGGGCACAGGAACCTCATGCAGGTCGGCCTAGGCCATGGGACCAAGGCCTTTGATTTCTCTCGCACTCATTTCCATGTTTCCCTACTGGGCGGCTGGCTGTGGGAAGCTGGCCGGTCCCCAGGACAGTGCTGCGCAATCACCGTGCGTATGGCTCTCGGTGTCAGAGGCCATACTAGGAACTGGTCTGGGTTTCCTTCCTACTTCTAACCTGGCTGGTCCCCGACACCACTCACACAGGTGAGAACTCAGGTGCTCACTGTCCACTTAGAGAGATGTCTTTCTTTTCAGTCCTCCGTGTAAACCACACGCGCGCAGCACGGAGCTGGCGCGAGCCCCTGCTCGGCAAGTTCACTCCCCTCACCAGACTCCGTACCCGGGTGGGCTTCACTTACACAGTGTGATATTGTCTCTGACCCTATAGGGGCTCATCTAGACATCAGCAGCCGACGTGCCTCGGACGGAACCCTTCTTACGCATCTAGATGTAAAATAAAATCGTGAGCTGCTGAAATCAGTCTAGGTAGGGTGTTAGCAAGCAAGGAGAGAAACGAGACCTAGAAGTCACTGCCTGCTGGAATCGGCCCATCACACGGGGACAGTGGGGGCCTGAGGGCCCGGGAACGGGGCTGGCTCAGAGACAGGCTGGCAGAAGGCTCTCCACCGCAGCATGGAAATACACATGGCATTTCTGGACCCAAGAAACAAAAGCCGGCAGGCCACATGAACTCCCCAAAGGCACCAAAGGGGTAGGGGGTGGGGGCAAGTTCTGGCCAAGGAATGGGGAGCCCCAACTCTGTCCGTCCACATGTCCGCGGTCCCTGGACCAGGCCTGGAGACATGAGTGTGTGGCCATCTTTGCTGCTGCTGCAGATGGCTCTCGGGGGGGGGGGGGGGGGGGGGGGGGATGTCTTTAAGGCAGCTTGTTGCAAAGGAGAACGGAGGGAAGAGCGAGCACAGAACAGCAGACAGCACACAATGAAGCGCAAAAGAAAGGCCAGGCATCAGAAGGGACACAGACGAGGGGAAAACTAAACCAAGAAAACAAAACACATTTCTAAAGTCCCCCCGCCCCCCCTCCCCCCAGCCCCATCAGCTGCCAGGGTGCGGGGCCTTCTGCTCCAGGGCCAAGCCTATCTGGGGTGGGAAGTTGATCCTTAAAAATCCTGGTGAACAAAGAGTGCTCTCAGCTCATCAGGTGACCAGGCACCTCCTAAGGGTGGAGAGGGAGAGGCGGACCCTCTTGACTGGGAGGTGAGAGCTTCCCTGTGAGCCTCCTGGCCGCCGCATGAGCCACTGCGATGCCACAGGAGGAGACACCCACCCTCTGCTGCAAGAGCAAAAAGAAGCTCGTGTTCCAATGCCAGCACTCAGTGTGGCCGTAGGTCCTCAGATGTCTCCCTGGCACACCTCTACCACGAGGGAGGAGGCCCAGGAATGCCAGCCTTGGCACCATCTCTGCTCCCAAGGGGTCTCATCATGTGGCCCTGGGCCTAGGGTGTGCTCAGGTGTCAGGACATGGAGAACTGGGGAGGGAGGGGGAAGGAAGGAGGAGAGGGGCTCAGCCATTCAGTCCAAAATGGGGGTTGCAGGACTGGTGGGCTGTGCGCACCACCTGATCATGGGAACCCAGAGATGGGCTCTTCCCTGGGGAACAGTCCTGCTGTCGGGCTCTCCCTGTGTTACAGACGGGGCAGCGGTGTTCGTGAGCTAGTGGGGTGCATGGATTCCTGCTGCTAGGAGGCCTGGCCAGGGCAGGGCAGGGCAGGAGTGAAATTAGCTGCTTGTGACTGGTGAGACGGGGAAAAGGCTAAGGTGGGCAATAGGCTTGGAAGGCAGAAGAAGAGCTCCTATGTCCTGAAGACAAGACCAGGGTGGAGGAAGACTCCCCTCCGGGAGCCAGGCCTGAGGCCCACTTTTACTATGTGAAATGGATCGCTCTAAAAAGCCAAACCTCAAAGCTATCGTGTTGTCTCTATGGGGAAAGAGGTTCCAGATTTCAATCAATCAAACGAAAAGAGTTTTGGAGCAAGATCCATTCATAAGTTGGAGTCTGCTTATAGTTTACTTTGTGTATAAGATAAGGCTGAAGTATTTCATTGCCTTATAAAGAAAGTATGTCCTAGTCCTCTCAGGTCTGGACAAAGCTAATTAGAAGCAGACCTGCTGCAATCACCCAAAGTAAGCAATTTTAAACAGATTCTTTACGATGCTGTGTGCCAGAGACAGATTTCCTTCTGCGCCAGGAGACTGCCTTGCAGCCACTCTCCACAATGAAATGGGGCTCCTGAGGCACAGGGGCTCCCTGGCCTTCCACCTGTAGGGAGCGCAGGGCAGAGCCGGGCCTGCTGGCGGTGGGGGAAGCCCTGCGTGGCCCTGGCCATTCCTTGGGGTCCCTTCCCCCATAGGGTCTCACTGCCAACTGCAGACAAGCGTGGCCCAGGGGAAAACCAAAACCAGACCCAGGCCAGAGGAAGCCAGTAGAATTAGCTGGCACAGGAGGCGCCCACGGCAGAGGGAGAGCTGAGGTGGGCTTAGCGCCCTCGAGGAGAATCATCTAAAACTTACCTAGAATGACAGGGTCACCGCTGCCCAGGAGAGGGGCAAGGACACTGCTGGGGGTGACCACAACACTGCCCTGCCTGTCTGAAGAACAGGAAAGTGGGCTCATGGTGCCCAAGCCCTTTGTGCTGCTGGGAGGCCAACAGCCAGCCCTGTGTGGGTCTGACCAAGAGAGAGCCACACAGAGCTGAAGCTCGAGAAAGAATACGGAGCCAGGGGCGTCTCTGAGGGAGCAGCTCGTAGAGTAAGAGAGTCCCAGTCTGCCTCCCAGACAAGTGCCCAACCAAGAGGAAATCCCAGCCTAGGAAGGGAGGCAAGGACCCGAGAAACGTTATTCTAATGAATAAATACACACAGAGCAGTGGCTTTCAGTATGGCTTGCTAAGCAGGCAGTTAAGGAAAAGAGGAAATGGGAGGAGCTCCCTGCCCAGCAGCCTTACTGTTTCTAGTTCTTTCTGGGTCTCATCTTCCATTCTCCTAATGTCTTCCATTGTCAGATCGATCCACTTGTCAATCCAACAGAAAAGCTGGCGGTGAAAATTTGTAAATATCCTTTTCTCTTGCTTTTAAAACAAAGAAGAAAATTAGTGTAAGACAGTTAAAAGAGTGAAGATTAATGACACATTAATGTATTACATGTTTTGATTCACCCAAGAAATGCACATATACTTGTTTTGAAAAGACCACTAAAAATGGATTAGTATTCAGGCAATAGCATCATAAAACAGCAAATAATCACCCCTGGCAGAAGTGTAATGATCTTGTAGAACGCAGACAAACACGTGTGCACGCTCCCATCGCAGGCCTGCTGGACCCTGTCTATTTTTACCTTTTTCTGAATGTCAGCGAGCAAAGGTCAACTAGTTTTTCTTTTCCTGCTATGAAACTACATGTTGTTCTTCACCTCTCTGCATTTTGAAGGCATACTGTGAGGCAGAATTCAATCACGTGCGCAAAGAAGACTCCTGGGCTCTTTGTGGTCACTGTGTTTTATCAGTAGCTATCCCGCATTACTTTTTCTATGCTACTGATGACTGCCACTATACGTGTGTGCATGTATAAACATGTACACAAGCAGCATTCAAGTTTCCCAAGAAGAGAGAAAACTGCATGGAACACTGAGTGTTTCTGGACACTATTCAATTCTTTCAACGTTTTTTTCCACGAAGGGAGGGTGGGGACTTCATTAATTACATGTGTGACTTTTTATCAGAACTGGATTAATCTATTACTATGATACAGGGGGAAGAAAGTCAGTATTTACAGTGCTTACTACAAGCCAGCTCTAGGCAGGCCCCAGAATAACCAGAGTTCCCAGCATTTTTCAAATGTTTACAGTATGTTAAAAGTAGAAAAGTTATGGTGACACAGAATGACTGTGTGTGGCGACCCCTCAGAGACATAACGGGGACATCTTTGTTAACAGTGGAGCCTATATGCACACACAGGAAGAGAACATGCCAAGGGGCTTTTTCAAGCTTGCTGCGTGTGTACTTATACCTGCGAGTGCTTTGTGGTTGTGTGTAGTCCGAGGAGGGAGCCCAGGACCTTGCAAATATTTATCCTACTGCAGTGCTTCCCCCTCTGAGATCGGATTGCCCATCTTACTTGTACTCCATTCTTAGGTCACAGCGAGTGAATCTCGAATGCACTGATTCTTTGGGAGGGCCTCCCAAGAAAGTACTCCATGAAAGCACAGGTGCATGCGTGCGTGCGTGCGTGTGTGTATGGTGGGGCTGCAGAAGGGTCCAGCTGAGCTGGGTCCTTCAGCACATAGTCTGCTCCCTCTCCAGCAAGAGGCAGGAAGCCAGGGGACATGCTATTCCACAAAAGAGCCCTTTAACGCTAGATAGGGTAGGTACTCCAGGGAAGTACTCTGAACAAAAATTGCTATGCCTGTCCCTAAAGAAAGCCCTTACAACCTCTTCTGGCATCTCACTTCCTATCTTGGGGAATAAAAAGGGCAGAAATGACGTAGGCAGGAACAGTAATCCCCCCCATAAAGGAGAGAGAAAGGGCTTCCCTCCTTTCCCGTTTGTGCCTGAGATGTTCAGCTTTACCTTCTGGATGAAGTTTTCTACTTTGCTCTGCAGGCCCCACCACTTGAACTTGATGGTCACCAGCTTATAGGCGCACATCTGAGGACAGTCAGGGTCACTGGCCAGCTCCTTCTAGATGAGGAAAATTGAGAAGGGGAAATGGTGACTTCAGGAGGGACTGTGGAGTGACACGAGGACATCAGAGCCTCAGGGGTGCTGAAGTCATGCTTGCTGCACGCACTCCTCCCACGAAGTTAGCTTCTATTCTGAAGATGAACAGGTGCAAGCCCCGCCCAACTGCTCATTCTAGCCACACCCACCAGGGCCTCCAGGGGAGGCTAGCCTAGTGGCTGCTGAATGAGGCACTGCCACAGGAAAGGTCACGGAAATGAGGGCAGCGGGGGAACCATCCCATTCAAGCCACCATGCACACCCACGGTCCACCTAGGGGACAGCACCATGTAAGCATCTTGCGTGAGTTGAGTGGGCACACACGCTGCGTCTTTCCTACGTACACCTTAACTGTGCTCTGCGCTGTCAGGCTGGGGACCAGGGGCTTGCAGACAAGACAGAAAGACACCAGTGATTTCTTCCAAAAGAAAGCAGCCTCCTGCCGTGGATGCCATAGCCCTGGTCCTCCCCGCTGCCAGCTGCAGTGTGCTCTGGCAGGGAACATCCACCACAGGACACAGCTGGCTTCCCAGGCCCCAGCTCTGCGAAGCAACCTTCTTCGGCGAGCAGTGAGCCGAGGCCAAGGGGCTTTCAAACCCAGTGAGGGCCACGTGGTGGGCAGAGGTGGGAGGTGGCTGCTACACACTCAAACAGGGAGCAGGGGTGCAGCTTCCACGGAGAAACAAGCTGTCGGCCAGGTCCCCTACCCCTCGAGCAGAGGAAAGGCTGGGTGGACTCTCACAGTCCTCTTCTCTACAAGGATGATCTGAAACTAAATGTGGGGTGTGTAAGCCTGGCTCTGCACATGTAGTACAGGGGCTGCACATTTTCTCCTAGAGCCCTGGGTGTATCTGGGAGAACACCAGCTCTTTAGAATTTTCCTGTGAGTGTGAGCGTAGGGGTGGGGTGGGCAGGGCTCTGGTCAGAGAAGAAGCTAAAGGGAACACAAACACACCAGGCGAGCATGGGCTGCATAGCACAGAGAGCCCCAGCTACAACTACTCTCCAGGTTTATTTCTCATGCTTCCTTAGTGAGCTCAGCAAGCACCGGTGCAGATCAGTCAGTTCACATACTAATTATTAGTAACTGTTCAAAAAGAAATGTACTCGTTGCCTGACTTACATAACTGAAACATTACCTTGCCAATAACAATTTTAAAAGAAACACCAGAAAAAGACTAGCTAAAAACAAACAACAACAATGATCAACAAGATATAGTTTAAAAATCAATGGGACAAAAAGTTTTCAGTGCTCATCTTCTCAGATCTAAGATATATATTTAATCTCAATCTTTTTTTTTGGGGGGGGGGAGGGTCCTGTCTGTGAGCTTCTTTTGCTCAAGGCTAGCACACTACCACTTGAGCCACACAGTTCCACTTTCAGCTTTTTTGGTAGTTTAGTGAAGAAAAGTCTCATGGACTTTCCTGCCTGGGCTGTCTTCATTCAAACCGCGATCCTCAGCAGCTAGGATTACAGGCGTGAGCCACCGATGCCCAGTTCAATCATATTCTCTACCCAATGCAAAAACATTTTTAAAAACACATCCTTTCAGGGAAAAAGTCAACATAAAGCCGCTGCCTTTCGTCGGTGGCTGGATTCCTGGTACCAATGTCTCAGTGGGAGGCAGAGAAACCCATCTACAATGGTCTCCAGACCAAGTGGAGAAAACACAAACATCCCCTCTGCTTCTGTGACGGTTATTGATACACGCATGGCATTTAAGGTCATGGGCAATTCCAAAAATGCCTCACAGGAGGCCATCTTGAAACCAGTGATTCCATTAACAGGGCTTTAAAATTCTACTAGATGAAACAGAAAATGTGAACGCCCTAGGGGTTAAGTGAAGCACCAGGAATCCTTTCCCTCCCTTCCTGGCCTAAAATCTGACACTGTGCAATAACAAGGCATATAGCTGTTCATATCCTAAAGTATATAGAATTCTCACTTTTAGAAATGTGTCAGGTTCACCAAGGAAAGAGAAATATTGTAATTTATTTGTAAAAGCAAAACCCTACATTTATGTCTAAGCTCTAGATCAAACGTTAAGATACTTCATGGGTTTTCAAACAATGGCTCTTAATATGCACAGCCTTTAAAAAAAAGCTTTTGCAACTGTAACCTACCCTCTGCACAACATCTTTATAATTACAATACAAAAATTAAAATCTCAGGGCTAGGAATGTGGCTCAGTGGTAGAGTGCTTGCCTCGCATGCATTGAGGCCCTGGGTTTAATTCCTCAGTAGCACATACATATACAGAAAAAGCCGGAAGTGGTGCTGTGGCTCAAGTAGTAGAGTGCTAGCCTTGAACACAGAAAGGCTCAAGGACAGTGCCCAAGCCCTAAGTTCAAGCTTCATGACTGGCAAAAATAAAAATAAATCAACAAAAATTCCAATCAACAGCAAAGCAACAATAAAACCCTACCTTTCAAAGAAGAGTTACACTGGGAAGGGGGCAGTTAAATTTGGGGGCAAAGCTTATTTTCCAGTCTGTGTGCTCAGCCCTCAGAGCACTTATAGCAGCTGAAGGCAAAGCTCAATAGCGGCTTCCTCTTTAAGGATTTAAAAGTGACCCCAAGCCAGGAGACAGTAGTAGCTCATGTCTGTAATCCTAGCTACTCTGAAGGCTGAGACCTGAGGATCTTGAAGACTCTTATGACTAACGAATGAGCAAAAACCTGTGTGGCTTGAGGGGTACAGACTCAGCCATGAGTGAAAAAGCTGAATTAGAGACCCACAATTCAAAGTAATGGCACAAAATAAATTTTAAAACAGAGAAGGTCCCCAAAGTAATCGAGGCAGGGTATGGGTCTGTAATCTTAGCGACTCCGATGTTGGTGCAGTAGGACTGCACCCGGGCACCATACTGAGACCTGGGTCTCTAAAACGACCAAAGAAATCCCAAAACAAATGAAGCTGAAATCTGAATTAAGGTCTTTCACATACAGTTCTGACTAAGGAGAAATCTAGTGTCTCACCCCATGGAGGTGAGACAATTAAGATGAATTCTCTTGAGCTGTAAATGAAAATTCTGTGAAAATCTGAGTTTTATATTGATGGACTAAAGCATGACAATTTTAAAGGGGTCATTTTAAAAAGGAGGTGAACACTGGCTGGTTACAAAAAAAAAAAAAGCCATCAGAGGCTCAGTAAAGAGCCATGGCTACCAGCATAGTCTAACAGAACTAAAATTTCTTCTGCAGAACTAAAAAATTTCATCTGTAATATAACAAGCACTGGAGAGTCGCAAGCACTGGTTAGTCGTGAAATGTTTCCAAAATTGCATCTCAATGGTTTGTGTATTCACCAAATTCCTTACATTTCACGTTACTAACTATAAAACGAAGCTCCCCCACACAAGTCCTGTTTCTAATTTAAACCCGCATATTGGGTTACTGTGAGGTATGCGGCCCAGGGCCTGCGGGAAGTAACGTACACTGCGCCACACAGCCTGAGTAAACAAACGCAGCGCGCTTCACAGCGCTGGTGAGCAATCAGCTCACATCAGCCACGAGACTCGTTCTTCAATCTGTGGCAAACAATGGATACACAAAGGTAAAAGAGAATTAAGGGGGGGAGGGGAGAATTTAGAAGCATTCTGTAAACTTTTTCTAGTCTGTACATATGCCAACCACACACACACACACACACACACACACACACAGATTTTAAAATGCCAAGCTAAAATCGTGTGTGCTCTCAGTGCTCTGTAAAACACGGTAACTTCTCTGAGGACCCCGGCTCCTCGGAGGTTAACTTCACTGTTCCTGGCAACACTGCCACTCACATTCAGAGGCTGATTCTACAGTGTCTGTTTGCAGCCCAGATTTCACTAAGAGTTCAAAATAAACAGCCTGTAAGGGCTCCTGCCAGAGAGTCTCAGTACATATATACACATTCCAGGAGACAGGTGAGCTTCAGGAAACTCCACTCTCTGCCTCCCCATCATCTCAGCTGCCAGGACACAGCAGCTGATTCTGCTGGCCAACTTTAGACTCTGTCGATTCTCTGTAAATTAAGTATACACACTAAGTTCCAAACAAATGAATTGGTGGTGGTGGTGGTGGTAGTGGGTCTTGTACTCGGAGTCTGGAGGCTGTCCCTGAGCTTACTTTGCTCAAGGTTAGCACTCTACTACTTCGAGCCACAATTTCACTTCTAGTTTTCTGGTGGTTAACTGGAACCATGAGTCTCATGGACTTTCCTGCCCTGACTGACTTTGAGCTGAGGTCCTCAGATCTCAGCGTTCTGAGTAGCTAGGATTACAGACATGAGCTATCAACACCTAGCTTATGAATTGTTTCTATGTTTCTGTTTTGTTTTTTGGCTCTGTTCTTGGGACTTCAACTCAAGGCCTGGGTGCTATCCCTGAGTTTTTTGTGCTCAAGGATTGAATCCTACCACTTGAGCCACAACTCCATGTCCGGCTTTTTGGTGGTTAATTGGAGAGGTCAGAGTCTCATGGGCTTTCCTGCCCATGCTGACTTTGAACAGCAATCCTTAAGACCTCTGTCTTCTGAGTAGTGGTGTGAGCCACTGATGCCCAGCTAACCAAGAGAAGAGTACCTCCGCACTAGCCACAACCTGTATCACAGTAAGAAACAGAACCCCACGTGTAAAATCCAGGGGGTCTCAGCAGGCGGGAAGGGATGACCTGACGTGGATGCCACGCGACGAGCCACGGAACTGCAGTGGGGCTCAGGGGCTGGCAGACGTTAATGTGAGATGAGTTCAAAGGCTCAAGTCACAAAAGCAGGCCACATGAGGTCCAGGCAGGAAAGCCTCCTGCCTGTGCGAGGATAATCGGTCTATTTCCTAGCTTGCACAAATAAATGGCTTCTTTTTGCAGCCCACACCCGTTCTATAAGGCAGGTATGTCATCTGACAAAGGCCTCGGTTCCTTGGAACAGGAGTGTCCCTCTGTGTGAGCAAAACTACATGCTCGTATTCAAACGAAGAA